ACCAGCAGCAGCCGGCGTTAGGCAGCCAGCAGCAGCCAGCAACAGCCAGCAGCAGGCAGGAGCAGCAGCAGCGCAGCAGCAGCCAACGCAGCAGGCAGCAGCGAGCAGCAGGCTATTACCTAATTTTGTAGGAGATTTCAGAAGGGACGTTCCGGCCTCGGGAAACGCATATTTTGGACTCCGTTCGTCCTTCAGGGCCATGGTGTTTCCCCGTCCGGCAGGGCTGTGCCTTTGTGGGCACAGCAGCAGCAGTCGCTGTCGCCTCTCATTAGCATGGGGTTTCCTTGCCGGAAGCTGTGAAGGGTCAGCTACTAGCAGCAGCAGCAGCAGCAGCTCCAATAGAATTTTTGTCTAGGTTTCCAGCAGCATCAGTAGCAGTAAGAGGAACGGCAGCGAGCCAGTAGCCAGCATAGCATTGAGATTGAAGGGGGAGCGCGTAAGGGAAGAAGAGGTGCTGCACTGCTACTTTTATACTGCCAGGCAGCAGCAGCAGGCAGCAGGCAGCAGGTAGCAGCCAGCAGCAGCCAGCAGCAGCCCGCACCAGCCAGCAGCAGCCAGCAGCAGGCAGCAGTACGTGTCTGGCAGGCAGCATCCGGCAGCAGCAACCAGCAGCAGCCGGCGTTAGGCAGCCAGCAGCAGCCAGCAGCAGCCAGCAGCAGCCAGCAGCAGCCAGCAACAGCCAGCAGCAGGCAGGAGCAGGCAGCAGCCAGCAGCAGGCAGGAGCGGCAGGCAGCAGCAGGCAGCAGGATTCCTTTTTGTAGGAGATTTCAGAAGGGACGTTCCGGCCTCGGGAAACGCATATTTTGGACTCCGTTCGTCCTTCAGGGCCATGGTGTTTCCCCGTCCGGCAGGGCTGTGCCTTTGTGGGCACAGCAGCAGCAGTCGCTGTCGCCTCTCAGTAGCATGGAGTTTCCTTGCCGGAAACCGCCTTTTGAAGGGTCAGCTGCACCAGCAGCAGCAGCAGCAGCTGTAATAAATTTTTTTTCTAGGGTTCCAGCAGCATCAGTAGCAGTAAGAGCAACGGCAGCAGTGCAGCAGCTAGCAGCGAGCCAGTAGCCAGCATTGAGAAACGTACGAGAAACGTATATAGCAAGCTTTTTGTAGGAGATTTCAGAAGGGACGTTCCGGCCTCGGGAAACGCATATTTTGGACTCCGTTCGTCCTTCAGGGCCATGGTGTTTCCCCGTCCGGCAGGGCAGGAAAGAATAATAATAATTCGCTGACCCTGGCCGATGCAAGGGGGAGCACGTAAGGGAAGAAGAGGTGCTGCACTGCTACTTTTATACTGCCAGGCAGCAGCAGGCAGCAGCAGGCAGCAGCAGGCAGCAGGCAGCAGGTAGCAGCCAGCAGCAGCCAGCAGCAGCCCGCACCAGCCAGCAGCAGCCAGCAGCAGGCAGCAGTACGTGTCTGGCAGGCAGCATCCGGCAGCAGCAACCAGCAGCAGCCGGCGTTAGGCAGCCAGCAGCAGCCAGCAGCAGCCAGCAACAGCCAGCAGCAGGCAGCAGCCAGCAGCCAGCAGCAGGCAGGAGCGGCAGGCAGCAGCAGGCAGCAGGCAGCAGGATTCCTTTTTGTAGGAGATTTCAGAAGGGACGTTCCGGCCTCGGGAAACGCATATTTTGGACTCCGTTCGTCCTTCAGGGCCATGGTGTTTCCCCATCCGGCAGGGCCGTGTCTTTGTGGGCACAGCAGCAGCAGCAGCAGCAGCAGCAGCAGTTGTTTCTTGCTTTGGAGGCTGTTTGATTGCAGCAGCACGACAGCAGCACCACAGCAGCAGCAGCCACCAGTAGCAGCACCAGCAGCAGCAACCAGCAGCAGCCGGCGTTAGGCAGCCAGCAGCAGCCAGCAGCAGCCAGCAGCACCAGCAACAGCCAGCAGCAGGCAGGAGCAGGCAGCAGCCAGCAGCAGGCAGGAGCGGCAGGCAGCAGCAGGCAGCAGGCAGCAGGATTCCTTTTTGTAGGAGATTTCAGAAGGGACGTTCCGGCCTCGGGAAACGCATATTTTGGACTCCGTTCGTCCTTCAGGGCCATGGTGTTTCCCCGTCCGGCAGGGCCGTGTCTTTGTGGGCACAGCAGCAGCAGCAGCAGCAGTTGTTTCTTGCTTTGGAGGCTGTTTGATTGCAGCAGCACGACAGCAGCACCACAGCAGCAGCAGCCACCAGTAGCAGCACCAGCAGCAGGCAGCAGGCAGCCACAGGCAGCAGCAGGCAGCAGCAGGCAGCAGCAGGCAGCAGCAGGCAGCAGCAGGCATCAGTAGGCAGCAGCAGACACAAGCAGACGCAGCAGCAGTAAGCGCAACGGCAGGAGTGCAGCAGCTAGCAGCGAGCCAGCAGCGAGCCAGCAGCTTGCTACTACTACTATAATATTTGTAGGAGATTTCAGAAGGGACGTTCCGGCCTCGGGAAACGCATATTTTGGATTCCGTTCGTCCTTCAGGGCCATGGTGTTTCCCCGTCCGGCAGGGCTGTGCCTTTGTGGGCACAGCAGCAGCAGTCGCTGTCGCC